TACTTTCTTCATCTCATTGATCTTGGCTTCGGGGGAATTGGTGCTTTTCGTCTCCTTGGCAACGTAGGGTTGAGTGAAGCCAACAATGCGAGGTACGTCCGCCAGTTTGGGCTGGTCGTCCCGCGTAGACGGCAGGGATGTCGTGGAGCCGGTATGGTTGTGCATGTTTGATTCAGGTGGTGAGTCATGTAAAGGCTGTCCGACCAGGCTGCTAGCCTTCGAGAGCGATCTGTGCGTCGAAGACGCCATTGACGGTGACCGTTCGGCGACATAGCGTAGCGGAATTCGCATGGTGAACTTGCTGCCGATCCCGACTTTACTGTCAAGAGAGATATCACCACCCATCAGCGCTGCTAGTTGGGCGCAGATACTCAAGCCAAGTCCAGTCCCTCCATACTTTTTGCTGAGACCTAGGTCGCCCTGTACAAAGGGCTCGAAGATCATCTTCTGTTGTTCGGGGGGAATTCCTGGTCCGGTGTCGTCAACTTCGAATTCAAAGCTCAAATCTTTCGTGTTTACGGGAGGTGGTGACATCGACCTCTGCCTCTCGGCGACCTTGGAGATATGAGTAGTACCGCCAGCCACGGTGATGCTAAGTTTCGAGTCCTCGCCAGAGTTCGAGTTCGAGTTCGAGTGATTCTTCTCGTGCTCTCCGGCTTCGGGAGCGACTAGAGAACCATTCGACATACGCACTCGCTTGTTGCTAGATGATTTGGACTTCCGGGAAGCCAGTGACGATTTCCGTGCGCTGCCGGCTCGACTTGGAACGTTCTCGACCAGCCCGGTGCACCGCACCCGAACCGTGACCGAGCCATGCGCCGGTGTAAACTTCAGACTGTTACTGACGAAGTTCATCAAAACTTGCAGTATCCGATTCTTGTCGCCCCACAAACACATATCCCGAACGCGGCCTGTTCCAACGGGTCCATACAGCTTCTCGCCAGAAGCGTCAGACGAGTCACCAAACGCATCATTCGTGCCAAGGAAGAGGACCTTGAGATCTACCTGCGCCTCTCTGGCTTGTTTTTCGAACGTTGGAATCAGTTGGGTGCTCAAATCACTCAACCTGAATTCGGCTTCATCGATCGAAAGCTGTTGGCCGACCTCGTTTTTGCTGAAAGTCAACAGGTCCGTCAACAAGTGGAGCAGCAGATCCCCCGACTTGTAAATGGTATTGAGTGTCGAGCGTATCCTCCCCAAATCATCTTCATTCATGCAGACCGTCGTGAGGCCCAGGATACCGTTGAGGGGTGTTTTCAATTCGTGCGATATGTTTGCAATGAAAAGTGTTTTGCTCTGGTTAGCGGCTTCGGCAGCTTTCTTACTTTTCTCGAGCTCCGCTGTGCGTTCCCTGACTCTTTCTTCGAGGCGCTCATATTGCATCGTCAATTCGTCAGACATTTCGTTGAACGTTCGCGTAAGCTCAGTCAGTTCGTCAGTGACGAAATGCTTGCGCTCCGGAACCTTGCGCGGTATTCTGAACGTTCTACGCCGCCGCGGGGTGTTCGACCGTTCCGATTGTTTGGGCTTCGTGATCCTCGTGAGCACACCGAAGAAGCCCTCCTTCCGCGCGATTTCCCGTTCGTCCGCGCCCAGATTGTCGTCGGGTTCTACTTCTCGCTGACCCAGAGTGCTCGAATACTCGCTGTTATCGTCAGGCTGGTAGGGCTCCACAGTTTTAGCTGTGGCTGCGGCCAGCTGACGGATCGGAGTAATAGAATAGTGAGCCATAGGAAACATGACGAAGAGGAGGAGACCCGTCACGGAGAAGACACAGATCAGTACAACATCACGCAGGTGAAGGATAGGCTCCACAACTTCATGATGTGACTGTTCTACCACCACGACCCAGTCAACATATCTTGTCGACAGGGTGGCATATCCAGCGGAGACTTTGGTCCCGTCCTCGTTGCGCGTGGAAATATATGCACCAGCATTGTTGATAGCCTTGTTCTGTTTGGTCCAGGCTGATACGACGGCCGGGTATTGTGACATGCGGAATGGATCAGAAGAATTGGTGATGCCACTCCGTGCTTGGTGACGATTGGATAGAGTTGCGTTGCTTGGAGGTGGCAAGATGAACCTGACGTCTTGTTCCGCGGCATATTCCTTGCTGGAGCCGCGGATTTGCTGTCCGAAATGATTATTCGGCGTGGCTGGCCCTATTAGCAAGGTCTCTCCAGTCTTGTCCAATCCCTCAGGTGACTGCTGAATCGCCAAGATCAGATTGGTGTTGGCAACTACAGTCATCCATCCGAGTACATCTGAGCGAGACGTGTTGTTGATCAGCGGCACTGTCAATGACAAAAGGGAGTAGGTCTCATTGATGACTAGGGGCCCCAAGAACAGCGTGTCGTCGGGATCGACAATTCGACCCTGGTAATAAATGGTGGAGAAGTTGGTTCCTGGCTTTGGAGAGCCATATGTCAAGTTAGGATACAATGATGGCGGATATCCCAAGCCAGGGTCTCCCAAATACACCGCTGAACCGTTTGGGTAGTTGTAGGGCAGTTTGATGGTCCCATTCAATCCCATCGCCGTGACATTGAGCAAGCCGTCAACTGCACTTTGGTTGCCATCGAATGCGTTCGGATACAGAATTGCCTGGACGAGTGTGCTGCCGTTGGCAAGGGCGCCCTGAAAGTCACTGACAGACCGCGACCAGTTCTCGTTGCTTGTGTTTCCAGAGTTATATCTTCCCAATGCACTTTGTATCAAAAGTCGCGTGCTAATTAGTCTCGACTGCGAATCGAGTAATAGCAAGGCACTTGAGATTTGTGCCGATTTCAAGGACGCTGCCAGGGACAAGCCGGACAGTCTAATGTTCGTGATGAAGCTGTAATTTTGAAACCAGACAGCCAGGGCCAACACCATAAGAGACATAAGCGAGCAAAAGAGGACAAGCAGCCCAAGCTGCTCCCGTATCGAGATCCGCATGGCGGAGGTATGATCACCCGTGCTGCTCTTTGCATCTCCTCTCAGAAACCAATATCGACTTCGGTCGTTGATCAGCTCCACGCTCGGTTCGTCATGATCGCAGCATGCCAGCCGCCGTGAGGAGGAAAAGATGGCCTAATGGAATAAGCCCGTAACGTTCCGGGGTCGAGCGGGAGCTGGTGTGAAGGGACCGTCGGTCTCCAGGAAGATCTGCACCCTCTGGAAGACAGCAGGTAATTTGCAAAACCGAAGCTCAAAGGAGGCTGATGGGTGAAGTCGTGGGTGGTGGCTAATGGGACAGCGGATGGAGGGGACCTGAGAATGGGGTTCTTGCGTTCGAGACCGGCTATTCGGAGGGCACGGCGCAAAAGGTAATGTCTACAAGGAGAGAGACAAAAGCCAAGCGCAACATAACCTCAGGCGATCATTGTCGAGAATCAAGAGACTGGTTCGAACAGCCGCAGACCCAGATGTATGGTACCCAAGCGTGGAAGGCAAATGGCAAAAGGTAAAAGAGAATCGATCTGATCAACAGGTGGGAACGAGCCGGTTGGTGGTGCTGCCGAGCCCCGGCAAAACTAGCCTGCGACCACGAGTGGTTCAGTTAACACGATGGCTAAGTCGCCCATGTTCATGCAGGAAGCGACACCGAAAGCCCATGACGGGCAACGCCACGATCCTTGTGAGGACTCTTAAGCGAGAAGACGCTGATTCAAAGGGGCTGTCGAGTGTCCACCGACTTTCTCGACGGAATAGCATTCCACGTACTGATCAAGGCAAGACACACAATTCGCGGCGTCTCGCAATCACAGGGAACGCGAGCACGCGTAAGTATTTAGAAGCATGATTCTCGATGGCAGGAAGCGCATTTCCACATTCCGAACGGAGGTAACTGCAGGTCCCGAGGGGTCCTCCATAGTCTGTAGAATATGCTCCTAATTCGTTGTTGGCACTTGGAGAAGAAGCGGCTGAGCCTGCAACGAGTGAAATGGTGCCTGGCTGCGTAATTGAGCGGCCCCTCCGAAGCTCCACCTTTCAACTCTGATCATGGTTGAAATGTATTTCCCCCGGGCTTGCAGCGCTTTCAGACACAGCATTTGCAGCGGCGATGGGAAAACCAGCAAAGGTAGCCCTTTTCGTAAGCAAACTCATCTTCAGCCAGAGTAGATACGGCTTACCTGCAACGAAGACTAGGTGAAGGTCAAATGGTATCAGCCAATGATTTGGCTTCGACTATGCAAGGTATAATATTCTCAACTGTTGCCTTCTTCTCTCAAGTTTTTCTACCACAGATTTCGGTACGTGTTGCACTGTGTCCTGTGTACACCGCTTTCCCCAGAAGCCAAGGCGAAATACAGTTGCCCGCGGCTCTGCGCGGCGAGGCAGGCACAGAAACCCTAACTCTCGATTTGTGATGGCATTAGGAGGGCTCTAGGCTTCACCGTGCAAGTCCACGGTGAGATCAAAAATTGAGCATTTTTAAACCCTCGATGTCCCGTTTGGAGAGAGTAGCTGGTATCTTTCCTAACTCCTCTTGCACAGACTCTTAATTACAGCATCGAAGGGTCTGGCCCTGTGCGCGCACCAATACCTGTAGTCATCTTAGTCTTGCTCAGTCTAAGCCGACCTTTGGCATCTGGGACTTCGCCCTTCGAAGGCGTGTCAACCAACGATATGATGAGACCAGACACTTCAGCCTGCAGTCAGTTGACAGCCACTGCAGCCCAGCCCAGCCCATCAGAGCCGTCAGATCCCCAACAATTAGATTTGCGTGCACTCAGCTGAGGTTTGCCGATCAACGACACATCGATTTGTGGCGCCATGGCGATTTTTCGACTTTAGGCCACTCGTGGCTTCGTCTCCCCGCTATGCTTGTCTTCCCTTTTCAGCTTTGCAGCCTCGTATTCTACTACGCTGAGTGTCAACTGCTCTCCTCATACCACGATGTCTTGATGCTACGGCCTCCCTCATCAACCCATCCTTGAGCTCTCTCATGGTGAAGCTTGCCCCTACCAAGAGTGTAGGCGTCTTCTGTCCGAGTTCCGCGCCAATCTGCACTTAAGATGGCTGAGCCAGGTACGTCATGGAGGCTGTCCGCATGAGCAGGTCAATACTGAGATGATCGCGCAGGCAGCGTCGCCCCTATCAACCGCGTTGCCGCAGATGGCTTTAAACTCTCCCTGCTTCTCAACGCTGTCAGCTCCGACGTCGCAAATGCAGGGCTCGAGGTCCAAGCCATCTCCAAGGGCGTTACCTTGTTCTCGATGATGCTAAAACACACCAGCCAAGTTCTGCAGGCCGTGGACTCGGTCCATTCTCAAGAAGCGGTCGAGACAGCTCAGTCCATAGCGGATGAGGGCACAAGAGCATTCGACGAAATCAATGAGATGTTGGAACGGGTGCGCACGGCGCAACGTACGGACGACGCAAGTTCTTCCCCAGTTCAACAAAGGTTCAAACGCACATTCAAGAAACATCGAGTCACATACCTGCTTGCACAGATCGAGAGTCTGCAATTAAGTCTGTCGGTGATGCTGCAGATCCTCCAGCTGGGGAGATTGATGGCGTCCACATCCCGAAGGTTCGAGACAACCCCAGTTCAAACCCAGGACGAGCGCTGACAGAGCATGCAGCGACCCGGAAGAAGTAGTCGCCGTGAAGAAAGAAGCTATCAATCAGGAACGTGCTGTGGCCCAAAATGCAGTCATTGTTCGATATTGGCAGATGAGCAACATGGACACTCTGTTTGAGGCTTCGCAGAGGGAGGAGGAGGAGGATAGGCGCGCGAGTCTCAATAGTTTGAACTTGGACGAGATGCCGTCGCCCCAGCAAGCGGATGGCTCTGCCTTCGATCATGCCACTTCGAATGCTTTGGTCAGGCTCCCGGTATTTTCTTTGGGTGAATTGGACCACACTCTCCATCAGATCAAACACTCTCCACGGGACATGGTGCAAGTCTCGAATCAAGCAATTGATCCGCTACTGGAAAGGTGGACGATCTGGCGCGAGGTCCGGGAAAGGAGGCATAACCGGCACTCAGGTGGGAAGTATGTGCCCTCGGTCGACAACCTCACCGAAGATGAAGATGACATGGCATTCTTTGATAGATTCGGAGGAAGGGAAGATGGCGCTCGTGGGTATTATCTAGAGGGGACCACCACCGACTGGAGAAAGCCCAACTCTTCTTCTGCACGGCATGAGGCGTTCAAACGGCGGAAGCAGTATTCTGGTTATCAGCCAAGTGTAAGTGCGGCGAGCAGCGACGTGGAAGACTCCCCAGGAGGCAGCACTAGCTCGAAAAAAAGATCTTCAAGACGACATGTCATTGACTCCGGATCCGAGTCATCTCCCTCTGAGCAGGAAATCGCTCAGCCGAAGCCGCGGCGACGGAGTAGTGGCAGCCGCACGGGGGAGCGAAAGGTGCAAGCACCCGATGGCAGTGCTGCCGCAGCGCAAAATCCGACGATACCAGCAATTCAACCACCAGCATGGGTGGCAGGAAACAATGGTGGCTCTACTAACCGTCCCCCATCTACTCAGCCGTCCGTGGCATCAGGTCAGTCCACCGCATCAAGACTGTCCTCTCCAGCATATCATCCACCTGGACATAGACCTTGGGCATCACCGGAGCAGAACATGGCACATCACAGCATTTCCTCGCCTTTGCTACCAGCTCCGACATTCAACGGTCCAAACATATACGGTCATTCTCCGACGGTGGGCTTTCCCCGCCATACTGGGCCTCTACAGCCTCAGCAGCCTCAACAGCTCTCCCCGTACCCTTCCTCCTCTGCAAGCTCACGGTATATGACTCAGCCGACCACACGAATGGGCTTACCACCTCGACCAGGCTCACAGGATGGTAAGGCCGCAAGGTCACCGTCGCGGATGTCGCAGCAGAGCATGCCAACACGTGCGCACGACGAGAAAAGACACTCGAGGGAGAAATCGAGCCGACAAAACTTCAAAGAAAGTGCTACCAAAGGTCTGCTTGGAGCCGGAGCGATCGCTGGGTTCCTGGAAGCTTTAGAGGGATTCAGTCTATGATGACTAGTTTAGTGTTGCATTAAAGGCTTCGGAAGCCATGAACCAGCCAGGAACGATTTTCGACGATGTATTACAAGACTGCGGAGGAATTTGTCCGAAAAATAGGGGCGGGTACGACGGAGCGGTTCTAAAGATCAGTCTTTAATAATTACGAAGACACCCCGAAAGTTCCAAGGAATGTGCGGCTTGCCCTGCTACTCGTCTTTGCCTTGCCGTGCCCTCACGATTGAAGGCGATCGCAGGTGCAGGATGCCATACATATGTAATCGGTTCCATATGTCTTCACACAATCCACCAGAACGGGGTATAGAACCCCCAGCTCAAACTACTTGTATCTTTTGGCGAGAAATGGCATCATAGTACGACACCTTCCGCCTCTGAGGGAGGTTGAAAGTGGAGCGGTGTACGGTCTGAAACGACTGCACCGCGCCCCGTGACAGCTAACGATGGTGATCTGAGTTTCAGTATGTGCAAGGGTCGTTAGCGGGTCTACTGCAGTTCAGGGTGTAGCCCGGAGTGCGAGCGTCAGACAACAGTCCGAGCGAATGCAGCAAAAAACACTACGCCGTCCGGCTCAACTACGACTTCACGACGGAAGAGATACAACTTTTTGTACCTGGAAAGCGTCACAGCTTCACGATGTATCCAGCCTATGTCCTCACTGTCGTAGAATGCATCCTTCGAAAATTAGATCACATCCGATCTCCTGCTCAGCAGAAACGCTGTTGACACAACACATGAAGTCACTACAGTCTTCTAAACCGTGTACCTGGTCGGATTGTTGCTCAAGAGGTTGCACTCGAGTGCTGCGTTCAAATGGTGACATGGTCTATGGTTTTTATCCATGTGTGGTAGCTCGTTTCTACGTGCGTCAAATGCTGGATTTTCCGTCGCCACAGATGGTGGTGATGGTGGAAGCTCAAATGACGCACCCTTCCCACTAACGAGGTCTGGCCCCAATCCCTGTCTGCCACATTGGCATCCTCACCTACTCCGTGTTCTAGATGAACGTTCAGCAGTATTCCTCTACATACTTTCCCAAATCTATGGTAATGTAGCATACCTCCTTGAGCTTTGATATCTGGCACGTGGTTCAGTCGACAAGTGTTCGTGTACTGGGAATGAGGCGCTCGCACACGCAGATCTCCAGTAGGCTGTATCGCACAAAGCGACCCCGGGAACCTAATGAAAGCCGCGATGGTCGATGTTGAAGCAAATGGCCACACTGTTTACGCTTGCACTTGAAACTATGTAGCAAAAATCCATGCTGGGTACTTATCGCTCCGGAGGATCTGTTCGTGGTTCCCGCATATCAGTGTGCATTGTACGTTACAAACATTGTCGCCACACTGGCGGGCGCGAGGCGATAATCGTCTTGAGGCCGGATAGCAAGGCATCTTTTGTCGGCTTGAGCTTGGACCGCTAATCAACTCGCTACTCCTCTGTGGGCAAAATGTTGGTCTGCTTTGGTGACAACCCCTCAAGTGGGTGCCTCGTTAATGTTAACGAGCCAATTGTCTAGCCGGGCTCCATCCTTGCCCCAGCCAGAACATCGGGGGCTGCCACTGCGGTGCTTGTGGCTCGTGAAAGCCCGCCTCTGTTGGTCGCTCGGTATCCTTGGTGTGGCCGTTGTTACCATTTAGGCACCTTCGACGATGATCTCGCCCTCAGGAGACTGCGGTTCCTTTGATACCTTTCTATACCACATTACAGTATTATTATCATCCCTTTCTTACTAACACGAACCATCCCCGTGGTTGAGATTGCTCTTACCTTGTCAAGGCTCCTATTCACCTAGATTATCGTTCCTCCGTCGCCCCTCCCCAAGCTCTCTGCGAAGCGCACGCTACGGAGTGCCATCAGAGTGACAATAGAGCAGCCCGAGAATCCATCCCGCCCTGCCCAGACCCTGCCTGTGTATCCGCTTGTCACTTAGCGTTTTTTGGGCACATTCGTCCTGCGTATCACGTCGGCCAATAGCCCAGCGTCTTCCCTCGGAAATTGATCAAGTATCCCATCTTACCATACAACTCAACTTTCGTTCCACCTGACCGCCAGTGCCCGCATCCTCTATCGACCATCGAACGTTTCTCCCCATCACCGAGCAAAGTGGCTCTCCGGCCATTTTGTGTGCGCTGCTGGACGCAGCCCAAGATCAGGGCCATCTGGCACTCCGAAAAGGCTTGCCACCATTACGTATCGCCAGCTACTCATGAGGAGGGACAATCTATAGAAGTTTCCGCGCCGTCCATGGCTCGCCCGGACGATACCCTAGCAGCCGCAGCGGCGATTGTGCGTGGATTCGCTAGAGGCTCGACTGCCTCTGCCTACACCAATGGCTTGAAGTTGCCGCCCTACAAGCTGCCCGGCGATGACACGGCTAGCAAAGAGGACTTCGAAGCTGAAATAGCGGCTCTCGCAAGGCGCATACATTATCTCGAATCCAGAGCGGACGTTGTCGGGCGCTCACTTCCAGACACACCAGGTGAATTTCAGAGTCCTACTTCACCTCTTGGGCGCCCGACCGAACCTCGAGGTTCTTTGGGAGACACGGGCACTGATCTCTCCGCAGACTCTACCGAGAGAGCCGCTTCAAATGGCACCCAGTCAAGACGCGTCAACAACCTGCTCGCCGCGAGAGAATCCCTCCCCCCTTCGACATCCGACCGTACAGTCAGCGAGGATGATATCAGCATTCTGCGGGAACACGTGGAAAGGCAAGCGGAGCAGATAAAAAGCCAACGAGATACAATTGCAGAGATCAGTCGAGGCTTGCGCAATTCCGAAGAACAGGCTAAACAAGCATTCATGCGCGTGGAGAACGAAGACGTCTCAATCCTGGAAAGAGAACTGCGGAAACATCAGCAAGCCAACGAAGCTTTTCAAAAGGCACTACGTGAGATTGGTGGTATTATCACTCAGGTAGCCAATGGCGACCTGTCCAAACGCGTGCAGATTCAAGCCACCGAGATGGACGATGAAATCGCAGCTTTCAAGGTGACGATCAACACTATGATGGATCAGCTTGAAATCTTCGGGAGCGAAGTGACGCGTGTCGCTCGCGAGGTCGGTACCGAAGGTATACTTGGTGGCCAAGCCCAAATCAGTGGCGTTCACGGTATCTGGAAAGAGCTGACCGATAATGGTATTGCCCTCGACTCGTGCCTTTCGATGACTTGTACTGACACGTTGCAGTGAATATCATGGCAGCAAACTTGACCGATCAAGTCAGAGAGATTGCGACAGTCACCAAGGCCGTTGCGCGTGGTGATCTCAGCCAAAAGGTGCAAAGCCGCGCAAAGGGCGAAATATTCGAACTGCAGCATACTATCAACACCATGGTGGACCAATTGAGGACATTCGCCACCGAAGTCACTAGGGTGGCCACTGACGTCGGAACCGAGGGAGTTCTAGGTGGACAAGCACAGATCGAAGGAGTTCAGGGCACCTGGAACGAGTTGACCAAGTCAGTCAACGCCATGGCCGACAATCTTACTACTCAAGTGCGCGATATCGCAGGTGTCACCACAGCCGTCGCAAAAGGCGACTTGACTCAAAAGGTCACCGCAAGCTGTAAAGGCGAGATACTCCAACTCAAGATCACGATCAACAATATGGTTGACCAGTTACAACAATTTGCTCAGGAAGTTACCATTTTGGCAAAAGAAGTCGGCACCAACGGTGTCCTGGGAGGACAAGCGACAGTCCATGATGTTGAGGGCACATGGAAGGATCTGACCGAGAACGTCAACGGCATGGCCATGAATCTGACGACGCAAGTGCGAGAAATCGCTACAGTTACCACTGCGGTTGCCAACGGTGACTTGTCGAAGAAGGTCACAGCCAATGTGCAGGGTGAGATTCTCGACCTCAAAATCACGATCAACGCTATGGTTGACAGATTGAACACATTCGCGTTCGAGGTCAGCAAAGTGGCGAGGGAAGTGGGCACAGACGGCACGCTCGGTGGGCAGGCAAAGGTCGACAACGTCCAAGGGAAATGGCGAGATCTCACAGACAACGTGAACACGATGGCCTCAAATTTGACAAATCAGGTGCGAAGTATCTCAGACGTGACACAAGCAATCGCCGCAGGAAATCTGGACAAGAAGATCGAGGTGCCGGCTCATGGAGAGATCTTGACCCTGAAGGTCACCATCAACAACATGGTAGACCGACTAGCCACGTTTGCACACGAACTAAGACGGGTCGCGCGAGATGTGGGCGTCAATGGCAAGATGGGTGGTCAGGCTAATGTTCACGATGTCAGCGGGCGGTGGAAAGAAATCACAGAGGACGTCAACACTATGGCTGAAAACCTGACTGCTCAGGTTCGTGCTTTCGGAGAAATCACAGACGCTGCAACCGAGGGCGATTTTTCCAAGCTCATCAGTGTCAACGCGTCTGGCGAGATGGACGAGTTGAAGCGAAAGATCAATCAAATGATCTCGAACTTGAGAGACAGCATCCAGAGAAATACAGCCGCCCGTGAAGCTGCCGAACTCGCGAATCAAACGAAGTCCGAGTTCCTGGCAAACATGTCCCACGAAATCAGAACCCCTATGAACGGCATCATCGGCATGACACAGCTCACACTTGACACGGACGACTTGAAGCCGCACTCCCGAGAGATGCTCAACACCGTCCACAACCTTGCTAACAGTCTCCTGACCATTATTGACGACATTCTGGATATCTCCAAGATTGAAGCCAACCGCATGGCCATAGAAGCTATACCGTACACGGTCCGCGGGACGGTTTTCAACGCCTTGAAGTCCCTAGCTGTCAAGGCCAATGAGAAGAGCTTGTGCCTGGCCTTCGATGTGGACAACTCTGTCCCGGACTACGTCGTTGGCGATCCCTTCCGGCTGCGGCAAATCATCCTCAACTTGGTAGGCAATGCCATCAAGTTCACCGATCAAGGAGAGGTCAAGGTCACAATCAAGAAATCCAGAGACCTCATCTCCAATTGTGCGACCGATGAGTTCCCATTCGAGTTTGTCGTCTCAGACACAGGCATTGGCATCCAATCCGATAAGTTGGACCTCATATTTGACACTTTCCAGCAAGCCGATGGCTCCACAACAAGAAAGTTTGGTGGTACCGGGCTTGGACTGTCCATTTCAAAGCGCCTGGTCAACCTCATGGGGGGTCAAGTCTGGGTGACGTCTGATTTCGGCCACGGCAGCGAATTCCACTTTTCCTGCATCGTCAAGTACGCGACAGATGATATCAGTGTCATCAGCTCACAACTATATCCTTTCCGAAAGCATAAAGTCCTGGTGGTCGACAAGGGAGTGTCCAATTTCTTCGACCGTGTTCCTGATATGATTGAAGAGCTTGGGCTTCATGTTCAGGTCGTGAAAAGCGAGACTGAAGTCCCGGATCCTATCGCTGCTGTTGACCGCAAGGGTAGGAACAGCGACGGGGGTTATGACGTTATCGTCATCGATGAGCTCGAAACTGCGCAGAGGCTGCGGGAGCTTGACAAGTTCAAGTATATTCCAATGGTTCTTCTGAACCCGACTGTGTCTATCAGCCTCAAAACTGTACTTGACCTTGGCATAGCCTCCTACATGACGACACCATGTCAGTTGATCGACCTCGGCAACTGTCTCATACCAGCATTAGAAGGGCGGTCTACTCCTGTCATCAAAGACTACAAGAAGTCGCTCAATGTTCTGCTGGCTGAAGACAATGAGGTCAACCAAAAGGTCGCCATCAAGATCTTGGAGAAGTACAACCATGTTGTTACTGTGGTCGGCAACGGGTTGGAAGCCGTCAACGCGATCAAGAACAACCGCTTCGACATTGTCCTCATGGATGTCCAGATGCCGGTCATGGGTGGATTCGAAGCCACCCGAGAGATACGGCAATACGAGAAGGAGCAAGCACTTCCCAGGACACCTATTGTCGCGCTTACGGCGCACGCCATGCTGGGCGACCGCGAAAAATGCATACAAGCACAGATGGATGAGTATCTGTCGAAACCACTGAAGCAGAACTTGCTTATGCAAACGATTCTGCGGGTAGCTTCTGACCGGGTGACTGATATCTTCCACGAGCAAGCTCGCTCAAAGGCCAACGGAATCGGGGACGGAAACAGTGATGCCGCAGAGGATAGGCCGTCGGCATTACCACTGAAAATCACACGCAAGTCAAAGGATCCCAGCTCGAGCCTGAGGCCTCCTTTTAGTGAGAGGTCTATCACGACGTCGGGATCGGTGATCCACGGCAGCGCTGAGAGTCCGTCGGTGGACAGAGACGGCGAGCTCGATCCGATGTCGGTGGCTAATAGCAGTGTACGTTCGATGTCATGGTCGGGATGAAGCCAGAGGCAAGCGCTAATCGGGATGATCAGGTTCTCTTAAGATCTCACAGTTCATGAGCAAGTTTCTTGTTGTTGCCGGACTATGACTCATTCTCTCTCGACGCACCAGCGATGACGAAAGCATGCTTCTGGAGTTTCAGTTTGTTGGAGCGAGGTGTAATGCGGTTTCAATTTCACGGACGTTTGCCCTGAGAAATTCTCTTCGCTTTTTCCATGTCTTTTACGCATCCAACTCCGAGGAGTTTTATGGCGTGGGTTTCCTCCGTGCAGCCGCAGCCTCCGCACGGCAGGCAGGAAGGTCAAAGGGGAAGTGCATATATTCCAGGACGATAGGGCCGAGGCCAGATGCATGCGACCTTGATTTCTCGACCAGGCTGAGAAGCTCTGATAGAGCCGGAGCGAGGTTGATAAAATCGCTCATATATTTCTTCTGGAACTGCAAGGAACGAGCTTAGCCTGATTTTCTGGGGCATGTGAGCCGGCAAAGTACTTCCGGCATCAATGAGACTTCCAATCACCTTCTGCAACTGGCGCTGACCTCTCCGGATTCCTGGAGAGAGTAACCAAGAAGACAAGACGATCGGCTCAGTGCTTGTCAAGTGCCTCCATTTCTGGAGATAGATCAGTTCCGACATCCGTTTGAAGCAATATCCTTCTTTGTGCTCTGGCGACGAAGCCAAACCGCGAAGAGCTAATCACAAGGATAGTCGAGTCCGTTCGTGCGAGGAAGTTGATGTTTCTGCCCCTTCCGTCAGGTGAGGGGCCGGAGTTTGTACGAGGTGTACGGCTCTCCGGCGCCCATCTGCAACATATAGCCACATCCAGATCGATTACACAAAATGCACTTCCTGTTGTGCATGGCCATAACTCTTCCTCCAACACATCTTTAGGATTGACCACCCCTACCTATGTGGCCTTCAGTTGGCTCAACTCTCAGCGCGGTACCTACTTCGACCCCATGAGCACACCCTTCCGCTACCAAGATGAGTTCAACGTGAATCGCGGGCACCGAGGTAGCCAAGATGTCGCAACCCGTCGAAGAAAGCGCACAAACAAGCCTCGAGCGTAACAAGAGCGAGAGCGAACACCAGTCCGCCGATCCCCCTTCGGAGACACAGAACGGGACAGCCACCAACCTTCCCGTGCCTCGCCTGAACCCTCGAAGCTGTGTCACATGTCGTCGCAGGAAAGTGAGGTGCAATAAAGAAAACCCGTGCGCAAACTGCGTAAGAGCTGGGATCGAGTGTGTGTTCCCGGGGCCTGGCAGAGCACCGAGAAAGTCTAGGAAGCCGCCCGATGCAGAGTTGTTGGCTCGCTTGCGCAGGCTGGAAGGCGTGGTCCACAGTCTAGGTGCCCAGGTCGATGAGAATGGAGTTATCTCACCCACCCTTACGGGGTCTGCAGACATTCGAGCGCGATTCGGAGACGCGCAAGCAGGCGACTCACCGTCATCTGACCGTTCGGATGCAAAGAGACAGTCCATCGACAAGAAATTGGGGCGGCTGGTTATCAGCGAGGATCGCAGTCGCTACGTGAGTAATGCATTTTGGACGGGCATGAGTGACGAGGTATAATTGCGCCATTGGTGCCATGAGCCTGCTAACGACTGCCCAGATTGCGGAAATGCGAGATCTGCTAGACCCATCGACTACCGACGACGAGGACGCACTCCACTCGCCAGAGACTGACCGGCAAATGAACCACCATGCATTCCTCTTTGGCTATTCCTCGACCATGCATGATTTGAGGGAGCTACATCCCAGTCCGAGCCAGATCTTTATTTTGTGGGAAGTGTTCAAGGAGAATGTCGACCCGATCGTCCGAATCTTACACCGCCCGACCGCCAAAACAATCCTGATCAATGCGGCGAGCAGCCTTGATCGAGTTTCGAAACCAGCAGAAGCTTTGCTCTTCTCCATATATTTTGGTGCTGTAGTCAGTTTGACACCGGAGCAGTGCCAGCAGCTGTTGGTCGAAGACAAACAATCTCTCCTGAAGAAGTACAGGTTCGCAACCGAGCAAGCTTTGGCTCGCGCGGATTTCCTGAACAGCTCGAGTCTGATGTGTTTGCAGGCGTTGGCATTTTTCCTAATCTCCGTCAGGCATTGTGACGATTCCAGACTAGTATGGGCACTGGGAGGTCTCGCCCTCCATCTGGCACAGGCGCTGGGGATCCATCGTGACGGAACCAATTTCGGACTCAATCCCTTTGATACCGAGATGAGACGCAGACTCTGGTGGCAGATATCACTCCTGGACAACCGTTCAGCAGAAGATCATGGTGTCGACCCGACATTTACGGAACAGTTCTATGACACGAAGGTCCCACTAAATCTCAACGATGATGACATATACCCCGGGATGAAAGAGTACCCCAAGGAAAGGATCGGGGCCACTGAAATGACATTCTGCTTGATCCGCTACGAACTCAGTGTCTTCTCCCGTCGGTTCAACTTTACCGCTCCAGTGGGGCACGGCCCTTTCCACGACCAAGAACTGTCCTTGGAAGAGAAGGAACGGCTGATCGATGAGTGTCACCGCAGGCTTGAAGAGAAGTACCTTCAGCACTGCGACATGAACATGCCCATATACTGGGTTGCAGCGACGGTAGCCAGACTAATCCTGGCGAAGATGTGGCTGATTGTCCATCACCCACGTGCCTACTTTGTCAGCGGTGGAGAGCCATCCCTGCCTCCAGAGATCCGTGATCGAGTATTTATTACCTCGGTCGAGGTGATTGAGTTCTCACACCTACTGGAGAAGAACGAGAACACGGCGAAATGGGGCTGGTTGTTCCGGACATACATGCAATGGCAGTCGGTTGCGTTCGCATTGTCGGAAATATGCACGAGACCGCCTGGTCCAGACGTTGATCGAGCATGGAAAGCGATTGAATCAGTCTATGATGAGCGAATGATGAGTTCCAAGTACCAAAAAGGAATGTTGTGGAAACCATTGCGACACCTCATGGCGAAGGCCAAGGCACGGAGGGCCGCGCAACAGGGCCAGGGAATACAGTTCCAGCAAAGCCTGGATACGCCATTCACGGACGTACCCAATCCGACTCCTATGGAGCGCTTCATGCAGGACTATCCAGGAAACAGAGGCACCAATGCAACGGATTCCTTTGGCATGAGCAGCGATCAACCTCACAGCCGTGGCATGAGCCTGGATCCGCGAGCACGAGAGTCACTTCGTGCCGACACTGGCAACATGTCACAGGACACGTCCAGCGGTGTCGGGATAAATTGGACCCCAGAACACGTGCCATTCGGCATCAACGAGTCCTCAATCTTCAACTTCGGCTGGTCCCCATCGGTGGGAGACTTCACCGTTCGTGGGGACGCCTTCCAGCGATACTTCGCAAATATTCAGGAAGAATGGTTTTGACGTCTTCACGAAATCATGTACAATTATACCCACATTTGGCACAGTAATGAGATCCGTCTGTCTTCTCGACCGTCAGCCTGTTCGACAGAGATCACATCCCGCAGGTAAGACGGCTAGAGGGCCATTCATGGACACAAGATTGCCAATGAGCCACGGTTGTGGCGGTCAGCGGAGATCTATTTCGGGGTCTGATGCGCTCGATGTGTTGTGGCTTGACAAGAAGTAAGCGCCAACTTGAATAATCCTTGAGAAGCCATTGGTCAACTCTGTCGATTTCTCCGGTGCTGGGCTATCGAAGCCCCTCCGCTAAGCTTTCGGAGCCCGTCAAGGGCCCGGCTGTGTGGATTGAGTGGACATGCTGGCGCGACCGAGCCCCAGGCACCGTCAAGGGGTGCTCCAGAATCCCCTGTCGTCGAGCCAATCGAGTGGAAGATTGTCCTCATTATTGACCCTTTCTGCAGGGACCTCTCCCTAAAACGTGCAAGGTGTTTTCCCAGGGGACGGGCTTCTCTTTTCAGCTTCAGACAACATCTGAAACCCGCCTCTGCCCCAAACATGCGCCTTCGCCCAGCCGGTCGTTGATGGATTTCGTGATAATTCCAATCCCACGCTTGGTGCTGACATTCGATTCTCTCCTTCCTTTCCCTTTCTCACCTCCCTCCTTCCCAGCGTTGGGCCAGCAAAGTCGAAGCATTTGCCTTTCATTCCGACTGCTCAGTCTTTCAGTCCGTCCTTCGGCGCGTTGAGTATACATTTCCTCCCGGTTCGGAATACACGTACAGTAATAAGAGCACAATCCGCATCATGTCGATACAATCCCTGTCCAAGATCAGGATACTGACCGGCCTGTTTCTGACCAGTAAGTTCAGTAAACCCTCGACGAAATTTCTCGGTGAACTCTGGTCGCTAACCCCAGATAGCATTCTTCCTTTCCGCGCAGGCTGCTGTTCCGGCATCGACATATGTTGGTCGAGGCACGTCACCAGATCCTAATGATAATATCACCGTCTCCATTAACGTACCAAACGACAACTCGGATTCTCTCTTCTTCCACTTCTTAGCACCCGCGGATCAAACATGGGCAGCCTTTGGCCTAGGGGAACGAATGGCGGGCACCCTGATGTTTGTCACATACGCCTCCCAGGATGGAAAGAACGTGACGGTCAGCCCTCGCATTGGTACCGGTCATGTCATGCCCACGCACACCAATGACGTTCAGGTTGATGTCCTCGGAGGCAGTGGTGTTATCGACGGCACCTTCGTCGTCAACGCCAAATGCAACAAGTGCCGCAGCTGGAATGGTGGAAAGATCAACATTGACAGCACGAGCCAAGCCATGATTTGGGCTGCTGGTTCATCAGGGACGCTCAACTCAGACGATGTCAGTGCTCAAATTTCCAAGCATGAGGGTTATAATTTCTTTGAAATCAACCTGAAGGCAGCCACTGGTGCTGGTGGTGTTCCCTTGGTGAGCTCGTCTTCGGAAACTATCACCGATGGTGCTCCCATCGACGGGGAGCGCCGCTTCCGTAGTGCCACCGGATTTCATGCCTTCCTCATGGTCGCAGCTTTCTTGATCGTTTTCCCTGGAGGGCTCTTGTTGTTGCGCGTCTTCGAGAAGGTGTGGATGCACTGGGGTGTTCAGTCACTCGCTTTGCTCATGACAATCCTTGGTGCGGGTGTGGGAATTGCCCTTAGCAAAAGGGACAGCATTGTAAGTGAAGTCTCCCGCGCCTGGTCTGTGTACGAAACTAATGTATGCAGTCGCCAAATCTCACAGCACCCCATCAAATCATCGGCTTTGTCGTCGTTGGTTTCGCTATCATCACCTGGATTGTCGGCTTCACTGGACATCGGATCTACAAGAAAACGCAGCGACCGGCCAAGATCATGAAGGGACATCGAGTCCTTGGCCCTCTCACCATGGGATTGGGTTTGCTCAACTGCATTTCTGGTTTCCGTTTCGCTGGCAACAACCGTGCCACGATCATTTTTGTCGTCGCCATGGTCTTGATGCTCATCTTCGTTGGCACTGTCCTGTTCTTCAGACGTCGACAGCAAGCACGAAAAGCGCCCCTGAACACACCGGCGGCGGCTAACTTCCGGGAGGGTCAAGCCGAAGCACCTTCGTACACCGGTGAAGCGCCACTACCTTTGTACGGCCAAGGCGGCATTCCTCTCCAAAGCTATGTCAATAACCAAGCACCCCCGGTGTATCGCTGATCACAAAAAGGAATGGGTGAGACGGTGTTTGTCCTCAACAGTAACTCACTCCACATCGCCCCTGGAGGCGTGTGCGACGTGAAGGGATGTTAAGCAGAAATCAGAACCGCATCTCTGTTTATACCTACAAATGCGAGCATGCCAGACGCAGCATAGGTCGCCTCGCGTGTATGTCCGCAAATAGACACGGCGTATATCAAACTCAAATTTCATGCAAGTTGCTGCTGTTCAATCAAGCTTCGCTTGTGGTGTTTTTTTGGGACAAGTACCCAGCCAGCTTCAAGTCGTTTACAGTAGTTTGGATGGGTGTACCTCTTCATCACAATGCAGGAAACGAGTGCCGTTTCCGAGGCGCACACATAGATCTCGAAGACCGGGGTTTCGAGAGTATGGTTAGTTGGAAGCATGCATTTGACGAACTCAGATGTGACATACTGTAGCTGCTTGCAGCATTACTGTAGCATAAAGATTCTGTTAGAGGGACAAATCGGTTTTGAGATCACATTATCCCTCTGGTTGACTAGTTATTGGGTGACCGGAGTAGAATGTCTTACGCGCGTCGACCAGAGGTGAACATCTTCAGCGTCCGGTACTACATGTGTGCTGTGTAAGCAGAGCTCGACGTGGAACTTCAGGTCCTCGACCGTCTGAACCTTCGGCTAAGGCACGTCTCGGCGTGCCACGTGTGCTCCCCGTCTTTTCCGGCTCACGGACAAAGACGAGCTCATTGACGAGCCACCAAGAATACTCGGACTGCTTATTTGGGTCCAAGATTTGTGGAGAAGCTTGCTCCAAGCTTGTGGAGAGCCTGTCCAGACAAGCGAAAACGCAGGGAGCGCGCAGAACTCGGCATTCAGTGCTGCCACCGTCGCATCGGAAAGGGTGTCGCTGGAGACTTGATAGATGTGGGATTCGAATCAGTCCAACCACCACACATCCACACCGCTCGGCAGTTGCGTGATCGCCATATTGCTCTGGTTGGAGTGTCAAGCCAACAGAGGTATACCAAGAGGCTAGCCCGGTCAAACCCCGTGTGGCTGGGCATCAGCAGGAGTGTCGAAAGATGTGAATGGGTGAGCAGCCGGTGATGGATCTTCTCCGCGAAGCTTCCCCATGCTCCTCCATACGGCTGGACTCCATATCCTGCACTTGCACGACCTCTCTCCAACACCAAGATTGCAATTTCCGGAAGAGGGACTCTGGAGCCAAGGCATGGTCATCCGTGAAGGACTGTGGTAGTATATGAGCGCTGGCGTTCGCCCTGGGCACAAGTCTTCCGGCACGGCTGTGGTCACATCTCTTTCTCCAGGCACAGACACCTTGAATCAGCGAAAATGGTTGGCGGTGCTCCCATATCTGCGAACCCTCTCAAACTCGATGTGCGAAGCCATTCCAAATGTCTCGTCATCTGTGTGATTGCCACGTTGTCGACGTTCCAGTATGGTCTGGATTATGCACTTGTCGGTGGTTTCTTGTCCATGCCAGGCTTCCTGCAGGTCTTCGGCTACTACTCTGAAGACTTGGGGAGATGGAACATCGATCCGACGGTGCAGCAGCTCATTTCGTCGCTGATGACCATCGGCACGTTCCTCTCCTCGCTCATGGTCGGCCCGTTCAGCATGAAGTTCGGGAGGAGGCATGGGCTGTGGGCAGCAGCTCTGCTCAACTACGTCGCCACGGCCATCCAGCTGGGAACGACCAGCAAGGGAGCGCTGTACTTTTCTCGACTTCTTCTAGGTACGCTTCACGCATGACATCCCAATACATCTCGTGCTGACCGCCCCCAGGTATCTCCGTCGGCTGGTTCTTGACGTTCGCTCAGCTATATGTCCACGAAGCCGCCCCTGCTCATCTGCGCGGTATCGCATTTGCCGTGTACCAGGTCATGCTTTCTATTGGTTCGATTGTCGGTGCGTCGGTTGACTTCGGCACACACGACATGCCCGGCCGAGACGCATACCAGATCCCATTGGCGATTTTCTTCGTAGCGCCGACGCTCCAGTCTGTGCTCATGTACTTCTTCGCTCCTGAGTCTCCGAGATGGTTGATGACACAACGGAAGGAGGAGGCTGCAGAGGCATCACTACGGAAACTTCGAAACTCGAACATCGACGAGCTCGAGTTCCAGGCGGAACTGAACGAAATCCGACAGTCGACTCGTGAACAGCTGGAACAGAACAAGAAAGCCTTGTTCCTGGAGATGTGGCGTGGCACAAACTTGCGGAGAACACTGCTCTCTATCGCCGTCGTCTGCTTCCACTCCGCCAACGGGTAAGTGTCATTCCTGGTCCGTTGTCTCGAGTTCCTGACCTGACGACGACAACAGATCCAGCTGGGTGAATATCTACACCACGTACTTTTTGCAGATTGCTGGCGTCGAGAACGCCTTCGCATACTCGGTCATGGTCACCTGCATCGGTTTGATCGGTGTTCTTTTCAGCTTCAGCTTTGTGCGACTGGTCGACCGCCGCACGGTGATGTTGGTTGGCATCTTTGCATGTGGAATCTGTCAGCTGGTTCCGGCAATTGTTTGGACGAAGAGTCCGGGCACTGAGTCCACCGGCAAGATTGTCGTGGCATTCATCTCCTTGTTCACGTTCTTCTATGTCGCATATGGTAAGCACCTCTCCTGATTGGTCGAAGCCTTGTTCCCCTGAGTTCCAAGCCTCGCCGTCTGATTGGTCGACTCCCCCTCCTACACTTGGTCGAATATTGTCTCTCGACTTTGGTTGAAGCACAATCTAACTGGTTTTCTAGCTCCATATGCATGGCTCCTCGGAGGCGAGTACGTCAACAACCATCTCCGAGCCTTCACGTTCGGCCTGGCCACGGCAATGAACTTCCTGGGTAACTGGGCTGGTACTTTCAGCGCACCGTACTTCATCAATCCTGCCAAATTCAACTGGGGCCCTAAATATGGCTACATTTGGTTTGCGAGCAACATGGTCTGCGTGGTCTTCACGTGGTTCTTCCTACCTGAAACCCGAGACCGCACACTGGAAGAGATTCACGAGATGTTTGAGGCCCGGGTTCCGGCCAGGAAATTCAAGCATTACGTCTGCTCCAATGTCGAGAGTTATGCGGCTGAGGCGATGGGTAAGGAACTGGGTGAGCGAAAGACCAGCGAGGCTGCACATGTCGAGGAGATGCCCGACAGCAAAGCATGAATATAGTCGACGATGAGACGGGTTGAGCCTGGCACACAGACAGATCATTCGAGCCAGATACCCTAGGTGCAATCAAGACACCCTAGGTGCAATCAAGACACCCTAGGTGCAACCAAGACAAGAATCTAGTCGGCTGAGGTGCTCGCTTTGAATCAAGACGCTCAAGAAATACCCATACTCGCCGGTCGGCAGCCATTTATGCATATGTCTGTATAGATTTCCGGAGAAGATGTCGTTTGACATCCCTTCAGCCCCCTGCATGCTTCAACCTGGAAAGCACGAGGGTTGGCTCCGCGTGGGTGTGCATGGCCACGATGGTCCAGCGAGCCAGTTGCGAGGAACATGCGGAGATGACAATGATTCCGCCAATCAGATTTCACTCAAACCAGCCGCATTTCTCTACTACTTGTAGCCCCAGATTTTGCACAACACACACATATACACAAACCATTCAGTTGTACTTGTATGCAAGGTAGCTACTTGCCAGCGCCGTTGCCGGCTTCTTCATCCGCTCATTACCTCTCACACTGCTCCCACATTCCGTCGAGATGCCGCTAGACACGCTTTCGACGTACTCCCGGACCTTGCTCCGACAAGACGGCCGAAGATGGAACGAGCTGCGGCGCATCACCGCTTCGATCTCGACGCAACCCGCCAGCGACGGCTCAAGCTTATTGACCCTCGGAAACACGATGGTGCTATGCACTGTGGCCGGTCCAAGAGAAGGGTATGATTGAGCTCTACCAGGCCCGCCCTGCTCGTGGAGGAAGCTAACAACCAACGTCCCCTCCGCAGGCGTGGCCAGAGAGACAACAAAAATGCCCTCGTTGAGACCGACATCAACGTCGCCCCCTTTGCAACAATGGATCGCCGTCGCCGCGTCCGTGCGGACAAGCGCATTCAAGAACTCCAATCTACGATTTCCTCCGCATTCCAGTCGCACCTGTTTACACACCTCTACCCACGCTCTACCATCTCCGTCTCCTTACACGTGCTCAGCCTCGACGGAGGACTCCTCGTCGCTTGCCTCAACGCCACCAGTCTCGCACTCGTCGACGCCGGTGTCCCAATGCCGAGCATCCTCTCCGCCGTGACCTGCGGCGTCATCGTACCCACCGAAGATTCCAAAGCGAAACCCGAACCGTTGTTGGACCTGAACACGGCAGAGGAGCAAGAATTGGCATATCTCTCCATCGCGACTGTTTCTGGTGGCGAGGGTGCGGAAGACAAAGTCTCGGTTTTGATGATGGAGTCGAGAGTGGAGATCGTGACAGGTAGTGGGAAGATCGAGGCTATGCTGGCGACTGCTGTCGACGGGTGTAGAGAAGTGAGGCGGAAGATGGAGGATGTGGTTAGAAAGCATGGAGCGAAGGTTATGATGGGTCTGCGGTGACTGTCTGGACCGACATGCTGCACAAGCGACGTGAGCGGGTTCCAGCACGCGTGGTGCGGATGAGACGAAGGGTCTGGAGAGGAACAGCTTGGTCAAGAGGAGCCCACGACTGGACGAACTGGACGACACACTGGCAGTATCATGAGTGTGATGAATCACGAATAACCAGCTCCTCGCCCTATGGGTTGCCAATCTGGCGGCTGGCGGCTCACTGCGTGCGATTACGGCACTGGCTGCCCCCATCGATCGAAGCCAAAAAGTCGAAGTGGTTACATGCAGGTACCTTCAAAGGCTATTTCCGCTCAGGCCTCAGAAATGTGATATATGAGCGCTGTATCCTCGATACACTGGCGGCAACATGACGACAAAGTCCAAATACTGCGATACCACCTTTACTGCAGTGTCTACCCCTGCGGCTGTTGCCCCCTACCTTCCCAATTGTCGATGATGTCGACTAGGGTATCGGTCGCCTCATCCATCATTCGCTTCACTTCGTCCGACAGCTCTTCGCCATCATGTCCTCGACCCTGGATATGTTGCTTGACCCTCTCCATCGCCTGCTTCAGACGCTGATACTCCTCGTTGTTCTTGAGCCTTGACGGTGTGGTGGGCACGATAGGCGAGAACCGGGATGCCTGCGTATACGTCTCGAGTTGAGAGTCAGTCTGAAAAATCTCGATTCTGTCAAGGAGGGATTCATGTACCTCAGTCCTGCTTGGAGTGAAGACACTAGACGGCTGGTTGTTGGAGTTCGTACTAGCACTACTACCGCCTACGATGTCTTTGATATATGCAACGCTCGCCTTCACAACCTTGGTCATCGGGTTGTCTCTGGGCTCGCACTCGGGCACATCGTCGATGTATCGCTGGGGGATGAGCTGTTGCAATTCCTGGCGTGCCCCAATCTCAGCGTCGCGACGGAGCTGAGCATACTTCGCTGGGTTCGAAGACATATTGTTTGCAGCCAGAGAAAGATGGGAAAGCAGTTCACAAGGACTCGCGGTCCACCAGAGGTCGCGCTTGATGTATGGTCAGCTGAGATACAGAACCGGAGTGTTTCGAGTTGTCATCTACCCCGTTGTAGATGGATTCATACTCATCTACTTTGAGATCTTCAGCAGATCCGGAAGGCAGTTGCTGCTGGACTTTGCAGTCCTTCACGCATTCTGGTCATCTGGAGCTGATGTCACTGGACCCAAAGCCCTCTGTCAGGAGGCAGCGCGTATACTCGGGATGGGACCTTGTCTTCACAGCCTGTGGGCTTGTGTCGAGCAACGGAAGTGACATGCTCGTCAGACAGCCTTGTCATCCAGTTGTTGTTCATCAGCTCTGTTTGTCGTGGAGATAGTCGTGTCTTCACTGAGCTGGGGGCATGAAGGTTGGTCTGTTGGAAGTATCGGATTGTAACGTGCTGGAATTGGTACGGGCACAGGGTGTGCGTTACGACAGTCTTCTGGGAAAAAGAGCAGCCTGGTCGTTGAAGACGAGAAGCCTGAATGGTATTGTGCACGATGTTATATCTGTTCGCGGATCTGAGGTTTGTACACCACATCCCCTTGCACAGGTGCTGTTACCTTTGTCCTTCACACTGTTTGCGATGCTTGCGGAAGCTCTCAGCGCACAACCAATCAATCATACGAAACTCAGGTCTCTAATTCCAGCTCGCATGTCCAGATAGCAAAACGCAGGCTACATGTGAGCTCTACTGTCCAGCAAGTGTTTGTTCACCGCTATTGGTGGAAGTCCATCACCCAGTCCCTTTCTCCTCCTTGAAGTCCAATCAAAGACATATGCGAGCACATTCTTGGTTTGCTGTGCTCGTGGTGTGCAGTTGGCAGGCATCTTCTCTCTCAGCTTCTTCTTGCATCCGGCCATTTCCCGGATCCTTGAGTCTACGGCATATTTGGCAAAGTTTGTTTAGGGAATCAGGCTATTATACTCGCCACATGCCTACACCATACGGGGAACGACCAGCGGTACGCCAGGGGTGTTCCCGAACAGGAACGTGTGGTTCTTGGAACACAACACCAATGCGTAAAACCTGGGGCATTGGTTAGCTCGTGGCCACTGTTGATAGCATTATTGGTACCAGTGGGCATCTCCCGGGATAGTGCAGGCTATCGAGGAAAATGACCCGTGCCAAATACTTCTCCCGTTGATGGAGGGTATTAGTGAGTTCGTAGGCTTTTCTAGGCCTCAATCGCCCTGTGATAGCCTATCTGAGTAGCCCAACGAGCTTCCACTCCAGCACACAGGCTACTTGACTTCCTCAACGTGCTCTCTTTCAATGATCTCCACTGCCCCCTTTCTGTCCTCGGCGCCCGCAGCATCCTCCTCGCCAATATTGGTCTCCATCTTTTGCAGGATATCGTTCTTGACAGCATGCTTGCCGTCAAAGATGACCGACACTTCCTCGAGTGTGATTTTGCTGGTTTCCGGATACGTGAAGTAGACGACCACGATGGCGATGATGATGATAATGTTGATGATCAGGTAGTATTTCCAGCCGATATTCTTGAGCGCGACGGGGTTCTGGCGAGATATATGTTAGCATGGGAGACCATTCGTCGACAAGGGAAGAGACTTGCCAGGTAGTTGAATCCCGTGATGGTCGCTTGCACGAGCAAGTTCTGCGTGCAGATCAGTTTCGGGCGGATGTCGTAGCTCATGACTTCGACCGTATATCCCGTCAGAATTCCGTTCCATGTTGTGGCGTAAAATCTGGGGCATTTGGTTAGCTCGTGGCCACTGTTGATAGCATCATCCTGATAACCCATTCCACAATGGAAACGGTCTGGCAGAGGTAAGGATGACTCACGCGTTGAAGATGAAGATGAACGCAATCACGGCGGGGCCGGCGTTCTTGACACCATCAGAAACGTACAACGCACTGCAGATTGTCCATGGCAGGAAACCGCAGAAGAGCATGCCGCTGAGAGATGTTAAGAGCATCGGCCGACGACCAAACTTGTCGATCACGTAGGCCCCCCAAAACGCCCATCCCATGTTCCTGTTACTGTCAGCGATCACCCGTACGAAACGATTGAGACGTTCGGGCTGCCACTTACCACATCGTAAGGCAACCATTGATGATCGATTGGTGTCGTGGATTGGTGATGCCAATACCGCTCAAAATCAACACCAGATAGTATCCGATGATGGTCTGACCAGTAGCTTGACTGAGAATGGAGCACGAAACCACAATCCATGTGCGATGACGATTACCAGGGGTACGGACAAGGTCGAGCCAACTCCTGCTGCCGTGCTCCTTCTCGTAGGCGAGGGTCTGAACGATCTCGTTGTATTCGAAGGTCGCAAGGGGGTCGGCTTCGTTGCCGCCGCAGTGCCAGTCGACCAGCGTCTTGAACGCTTCTTCATTTCGACCTTTGGAGCAGAGCCATCTGGGTGATTCTGGGACAAACCACGTGAGCGAAACTGAGATCAGAGATGGGAACATCTGGATCAGCGACACGCTACGCCAACTCCAGTCGCTTTTGATCGAGAGCGTTCCGAGAGTGATCCACGCTGCAAGGGTGGCGCCGAAGTAGTACAAAGTGTTGAGGAGCGTTGATAGCTGGGCTCGATGAGTAGGGTGTGCCAGCTCGGAGACAAGCATTGGAGCAGCCGTATATTCGAAGCTCAGTCCCAGGCCAATAATGCAACGAGAAACTGCAAACATGGCTATTCCCTGGGCGAAGGACTGCAGGAAGACGCCGATGATGATGATGACCGCGCCCGCGATGATGATCAGCCTGCGGCCGACCTTCTCGACAAGCCACCACAAGAAGAACTGTGATATGACGCCGCCGAGCCCCTGTGTGCCATTGAAGATGCCGAGTTGAGCACCTGTCGGATGATGAAAGTAGGATTGCTTGTCGGTCGTCAATATCACAGAGCTCAAGTTTTCTGGGAGAACTCACCCAATATGTCAAGGTTTGCATGCCATTCATGATCGAGCCGTCAAGGCCATTCGTGGCTTGCACGATTAGAACCACACAGAGCCATCCATATAATCTCCTCAGGTGTTTGTACTTGTACCATGGCCTGTCTAGCAGCTTTTGGACGTTGATGGTGGTGTCTCCTCGCTTCGTCCCTATGTGAATCTGGTTCTCCTGCTGTGCCATTCTGCTTCTCTTGGGGATCTGTTGATCGCAAAACTACTTTGGCGTGAAGGCAGGATCTGTGCTCTGTGGAAGAACGCCTTCTTTTGTACACTTGGAACCTCCGAGCCCTTCAACAGACCATCTCTCCGCATTTTCAATTACCGTGTCCGGAGTGTGTCCGCCACCCCATGGGAGTATTTCCTCCGCGTAGTTGCATACGCTTGTGAGCAATATTTAGCCTAAAGAACTTGTCAGGCATGCCTGTAAGGGTTTGAGGTCATGCTCAGATGCTCGTAGCCTTTGCGTGTGAAGACGGCCAGGCAGTCCAGATGGCTTCCGCACGGAGATGCACGGAGATGGCCCGATGGAAAAACAAGCGAACCCATGGCGTTGGCAGCTAGTGGAGTCCGGCAAAGTCTGGGTAAAGAGCAAGTGACTGACGCTGGGTAAATAATTGCATCTAAGACAAGGTAGCTTCCATAAGAAGATGCGGCATTGGCACCCGCCGCCTGCAGCCGTTAATGGTCGGTACTTTTGACGGTGTCAAGGGCTTGGATAGAGAGAAGCATATGCTTCTCCAAACTGGGGATCTGGGGAAAATGCCCACCAGAAAGTCAACCTCCGCAAAATCCACCCCCACTGCGATATGGGAGGTCATCTCCCGGCAGGCAAACCTGGCGGCTATTGACATATAATAAGGCTAGTGCTGTGAGCCGTGCAGGAATCGGGGAATCCAACGGAAATATCAAAGCCTCAATTTAGCCTGAAGCTGATGGGAGCAGACCTGTTATCAGCTGTCGACAGCGTCGACGATGCTAGTCCACCCGAGCTCATTGCATTCTTCCACGGCCAATCATGGAGGTGGCAGGACGTTTGATTGCGATGCTGCGAGTCGCTAAAGGCGTTTCCGAATGATCTCTCGCTGTACCCATGCACTTGGACTTTGCAGTAGTACAAGCGACGCCCACGTGGCGAATGGTGCTGTTGTTTGCATAGTGCTCCAAGGCTCTATGTTTTCGTGGGTAGAAGAGAAGATCATCCTGCCAAGGCGTCTCGTGCCACTGCTTTTGCCGTGGCATGTGTGATTGCTGGGCTATGCTCCATCGAGAAGAGGAGCAGCAGACTGCCAGAATCGGCCCCAGCTGCCTTGTGCAACTCCGCTCACTGACTGGCCACGATCTCTGAGTGCTTACCAGACCTCAGGAAAGTGCCGAGGAGCCAGTAGTCAACCCATGCGACGCCGCATCGGCAAGGCTCGTGGTAAGCAGTGTGGTCCTGCCCAGCCGACCTGTCTTACCTCTCAAAAGTGATAGAGTGTCTGTGTATCTCGCGAGATCGAGCAACCTGGGGGTCCATCGGCGAACTCATGCAGCCGTGAGAATTTGACCTCATCGTGTAAGGGCAATGATCAGTTGGGCCTGGCGAGCACATTCAAACCTGTTCCCTGCTCCAAGGTACACAACATCTAGAGGGTCCATGAATTCAAGGTGATTGTTCCAGATGTTCGGGGGTTCTTGCTGCTTTGCCCATCGATATGCCACCACGAATTGCGCTAGGTGTGAGAGCAGGGCTTGTCCTCAAACCTCAAAATGGTCCGTCAGCGTGCGAGACCCGGAAGGTCTGAGAGATTCAGAAAGATTGATGCGAGCTTGCGTAGGCCGTGAGAGTATCAATATCTGTCGTATTGCTTGGGGTCAGCTGTTACAGCCGGCTACGGCCCTTCCTCCCAAGCGTCAGAGCAGTCTCTGTCATTACGGTCTCGGTGCGCTGCAGAGATCAAGTAACAGTCAAGGGCTTACAGTGACATGACTCACACACAGCCTCAAAGAAGTCAATGCCACCGTATGAGAGTAAATAGACAACTTCAGCGTCGTAGGCAAACACCGGGATTGTCCCTTTCAAGAGAAGGCGCGGAATGAGCGAACCTCATGTTGTCAGGGAGTGAGAACGTGTCGCTCATGGACAAGGACGCGCCTGTGTATCTGCATTCCTTGTTACTTCGGCGGGCTCTGAGGAGCCCTTCGATTCTGTCAAAGTAGGAGATATACACATAGTGGAAGTGGAAGTGGCTAAGGTAAGCGTTTTGACCTGAATTGAAGCCGAATCTGATTGGTCAAGCCATCTTTGACCTGCAACTCGGCGCAGGAGAAACGATCTCGACGTACTCCGTACTCTGTAGAAATTATCCCTCTATTCGCGGTGGACTTCACGGTCACACTGTTGTGACAGCGGCTTCCTCGATACCTCGTCCCTGATCTTGCCTTCTGATTCCGCACCGACTTAGCTCACGACGTTGCCATCAAGATGGATTTTGAAAGCCTGAAAAGCCAGGTCAGCAACCTGACCCTGTACGACATCAAGGCCGGGGTCCGAAAGGTCCAGAATGGTATGTCTGTTCATCAGGCGGTGAACGTGACGCTGACATGTATATAAAGTCGTGATGAATCTGACCGAGATGGAGGCCAAGGTACGTCCATCGCCCTAGATACTTCAATCCGCCATGTCCTCACTCTCCGAACAGGTGCGAGAAGCCACAAACGGCGATCCATGGGGAGCGTCGGCAACACTCATGCAGGAGATTGCTCAAGGCACACATAACTAGTCGGGTTCCCCGTTCCTGCCAGCACATTGCCTGTCTGACTGTGCCAGCCAACAACTCAACGAGATTATGCCCATGATCTACAAACGATTTACAGACAAAACCGCGGAGGAGTGGAGACAGATTTACAAGGTGCGACTATCCTGTCATGCGCAGGATTGCCTCAGCTCATCCGGAACAGGCCCTGCAACTGCTCGAATTCCTCTGCAAGAATGGCTCAGAGCGAGTTATCGACGATGCGCGATCACACCTCTCCCTCCTTCGGATGCTTCGACAATTCCACTACATCGATCAGAACGGCAAGGATCAGGGAGTGAACGTGCGAAACAGATCTGCTGAATTGGTCAAGCTATTAAGCGATGTTGATACTATTCGTGCAGAAAGGAAGAAGGCGCGCACCAACAAAAACAAATACGGCGGTGTGGAGGGGGGTATGGGCATGAGTGGTGGTTTCTCCAGCGGTAGCCGGTATGGTGGCTTTGGCAGCGAGACTGGTGGTTTCGGGGGTTATCAGGGCGAAGTCTATGGGGACGGCGGTGGGTTTGGCGGCAGAGAAACCGATTATTCAGGCACACAGCGGCGCGGTGACCAATTTGAGGAGTATGATGAGGGTGATGATGCCGAACCCACAAGACCAACCAGAGCAACTACGACCACACGGCCAGCACCGTCTGCAACAGCGAAGCGGGAACCACCCAAACCAAAAGAGCCGGAGCAAGATCTTTTTGATCTGATTGACGAACCTTCAACCACCCCCGCCGCTCCGTCCAGTGGGCTAGCAAAGCTAGGTAGTGCTGCGAACAACGACGACGACGACTTTGATGACTTCCAGTCTGCGACGAGTCCCGCAGCACAGCCGGCACCAAATCCCCTTGCAAGTCTAGTGCCGCCACCAACCACTTCCACTACGACATCGGCAACACAGTTTGCTGCTCCGAAACCTGTGGCCCCTGGCCAAGCGGCAGGTCTCAACAACATCTTCACGACCGCGTCTCCTGCTCCATCGGCTTCTTCCTCAATAATATCGCCATCGACATCGACCTTTTCTCCGCCACCTGTGCAGAAGCCTTCCCAGCCGGTTCAGCCTACCGCCTACAGGCCGACCGGACCGAACTATTTCACCTCCGTACCTGCATCGTCCGGTCCTCAAAGCACCTTCTCGTCTACTGCTTCTACTCCCATGAGTGGTGGCGCTACACCTTCTTATACGTCTTCTACCTCAATGGCATCATTGGGTAAACCAGCCTCGAAACCGGCTTCGAGCACTTCCGTCGATGCTTTTGGTAGCCTATGGAGTACTGCCAGCAACAAGGCCGGGGTCAAGAGTACGGCTGCTTCGCAGAAGGGACCAGATCTCGCGAGCATGGCCAAAGCGAAGAGTCAGGCAGGTATTTGGGGAGCCGCCTCAGCGGCGAGCTCGACTGCGCGACCCGGAGCAACAGCACCGACACCGACACCTGCATCGAGTCAGGGGAAGCCACTGGGAAATGGTTTGGATGACTTGCTTGGATGAATAGGTGTTATTGGTGCTCATTTCAACGAAGTCGATGTCACTTGCGCTGAGGACGCAAAAAAATACCCTGGTCCCTCATAGCACTCTGTTGCTTAGATTGTCAAGAGTGTTCAAGGGCTGTTCCGCTATCTCACTCTCGCGACAGGGGGAGCGGCCCGAGACATGTCTCCATGACGGCCTCGAATAGGACGCCATCTATTTGCAAGGTTCGTGAGATCTAGAGGCAGGCAATGCGAGCTGAGCCCGACAGCAAGTAAGATTGCCGGGTTCCAGGCGAACATTAGTCGTGCACTTTGCAACACAAGGAAATTGTTCTCCTCACAAGCCTCATCATCTGCAATGTTTGCGCTGGTCCTGCCGCCGTTCAAAAGCGCAGAAGATGACCTTGACATTTGTGTAAGAGGCAACCTCCAGGGGGACACCTGCACTCTTGCCCCAGTAATGTGTATGACGAGCATACTGCTTCAATCTGTTAGCTATATCATCGTTTCGTTTCCTCATCACTATCTCCTGATATTCTTAAAACATTCTCTCCTGGGCCCACCTATTTCAAACCCACATAAGTGCCTCAGATACGCGTCCCATTCAGACGATCACCCGGTTTGCCCATTTGGGCCAATGTCGTTCTAAGTTTTTTTGGAGCTTGAGTTCTCCAGACCGTTGTCCCTTCGTCATTGTGCATTGGCGGGACAGCTTGGTTGATCGTCCCTGTTGCAATCGATTACTGGCGGCTTCTGATCACCAATCATCGCCAGGGATGAATGGTGGGGTGAAGATGCTATCGTCCCCCCAGAGTCACAGAAAGCAGTCAAGCAGTTCGCCTTCGCCCACCCATTTGGTAATGTAAGTGGCTGCACGTTCGTCTCTCCATCATCCTGTTACCTTGCTCTTCCGCTTGTCATCTATCCCGTACTCTCCTTCATCAATGCTAACATGACCGAAAGACCTCCTCACAAGCGCTCCAAAAGCGCCAGAGTGCTCAACCTCCTCCGTAGCGACAACCTCCCAAAAGAGAGCGGTTCAGACACTGATCAGTCGCCGGTCACTACAACCACCTCCGCTACGGGGCCTTTCTCCGCCAACTCACCCTTGACTCCGGTCGATGGTCCTAGATTGAGTCCATTGTCGCCCACTGTCACCAGAACTTCACAATTGGTCATGGACTCGAGTGAATATTCACGGGAATCAGACACATCGCATCAAGTACAGGCAGTCCCCTCGGGCATTTCCGCCGACCAGTCCACGTCGATAGAAGATTCCGTTCGCACCTTTCGTGTATTTGAGGTGCTTCGTGGGAAGGACACTACGGCCATCGCGAAGGCAATTAAAGAATCCATACCCTCATCTACAAACCCTTTCCCCATCCCCGGCACCACGATCCTCCACCTGGCTATACAATGCGCCGAACCGTCAGTGGTGGAACAGGTGCTGAGAGAAGGGAAGGGCCTTGATGTGAATGCGCAGGACAAAGAAGGAAACACAGCTCTGCATCTCGCTGCACAGCTTGGTCGAACGCCTATTGTACGAGACCTGCTTGAGGTGCCTGATGTCAACGATGCCATCTCCAACAGACAGGGAAAGCTACCTATTGATCTAGCTCGAACACCAGAAATCTTCCAACAGCTGCAGCTGGCCCGTTCGATATTCCTTGATGAGAAGACTAAGGAGATACACGCCGCTTTGGCGCACAACGACTACAAAAAGTTCGAAGCCATCCTTGTCGAACCCCGAGTTGAAGCGACTCTCGATGTTAATGCGCTCGAGCTACCTACAGAGCCGGCTACTGTTCAGAGTGGAGGAACACTTCTCCACGAGGCTGCACGCAAAAAAGATATCCAGCTGGCACAGCTTTTACTGCTGCATGGCGCAGACCCCTTCCGCAGGGATCGCAAAGGAAGACTTCCACAACATGTGACACAAGATGACCGAACGAAAGCCATCTTGAAAAAGTCCCCGGCGGCTGCAGCAGCACAGCGTGGTATCCAGGAGAAGGCCATTCTCGGAAACAACCCTTCTCAGTCCAGGGTAGGGGCAGGTCCCGGTGACACAAGTAAAGACGCGAGAGAAATGAAAGGTTATCTCAAAAAGTGGACCAACTATACGAGCGGGTACAAGTTGCGTTGGTTCGTTCTCGAAGAAGGCGTCCTCAGCTACTACAAGCACCAGGATGACGCGGGTTCGGCCTGTCGCGGTGCCATCAACATGCGCATCGCGAAGCTTCACATGGATCCTCAGGACAAGACCAGGTTTGAGATCCATGGAAAGTCGTCGGTCAAGTACCATTTGAAGGCCAATCATGTCGTGGAAGCCAAGCGCTGGTTTTGGGCACTCAATAATGCCATTCAGTTCACCAAAGACGAGGCAAAGGAAGAGGAGAAACGGCGTACACTTGACCCCGAGAGCCTTCGCCATGCTAGGGGCGAGCTAGATCAACTCAGCGCAACGAGCAGCAAACCAAAGCAATCTACTCAATCACTCGGAGTGGGAGGCACGTCTTCCAAGATCAGCTTTCGCTCCGAAGCCGATGGCGGATCAGCCTACGACTCATATGACGCGAGCCTTCATGGCGACGAGCTTCAGAGAGTTCCTACTAGTGCTGTAACGGATATTCCTGGTGAAGAAGACGCGGATGGCGACGACGCTAGCAGTCGCGAAGTCCACCACCCGGGAAGTAAAGATGCCTTCAACATCACTGCGCAATCCGCCAAGCTACAGCTTGACCTCATCGCCCGGGTCTCCGATGCTTTGACCGCTCGCCAGTCCTCTGATCCTGCCACGCCTTTGTCGGACCCAGATGTAACTCAGGCGCTCCAAACCTATCAAACAGCAGTGAACAGCTTGAACGGCCTGGTGGCAGATCTGTTGAAGATTTCCCGTGACAGGGACGCATATTGGCAATATCGTCTCGATAGAGACGCAGATGCTCGGCGAATGTGGGAGGAAAGTATGGCAAAGATCGCTTACGAACACGAGGACCTCAAGAAATCGATCGCTGAATCAGAGGACAAGCGTAAGCGGACGAAACGTGCCTTAAAGGAAGCCCTCGAGGGCCAATCAGTACCAGCCAGTCGTCCGGCCTCTATGCTTCAGCCAGAGTCGCCAGAGCGTATCCAGTTCGCAGAAGCAGTCGATGACCAAGTGCATCTTCGACCAGAAGCCAATATTCAAGCAAGATCACGGCGGAAGTCCGTCACTAGGGATGGCAATAGGAGAAAATCCATCATTGCACAGTACACAAATCTCTCGGATTCAGAGTCCGGAGACGATGAAGAGTTTTTCGACGCCATCGACGAAGGCAAGGTCGAGGTTGTCGAGCCGCCACTTCTCAGCCCTCCACCCGTGCAGATACCGACAAGTGAAGAACAGGAAAAAGAGCCGTTTGGGGATGAACGGGCATTGAAGCAAATGGAAATAGAGCCATCATATGCAGGGTACGAACAGGGCATCCGGAAGAGGCTGAAGATGGACGCCGATAATAGGCCCAAGATTTCCCTTTGGGGCATTCTCAAGTCTATGATAGGCAAAGACATGACCAAGATGACTCTGCCGGTGTCCTTCAACGAGCCGACCTCGCTCTTACAACGCGTCGCGGAAGACATGGAATATGCAGATCTCCTCGACATTGCAGCAGATCGCCCCGATGCCACCGAGCGCTTGGTCTACGTCGCTGCATTCGCTGCGTCGGAATATGCCAGTACAATCGGTCGTGTCGCGAAACCTTTCAATCCTCTGTTAGGTGAGACATACGAATATGTCCGTCCAGACAAAGGATATCGATTCTTCATCGAACAAGTGAGCCATCATCCTCCGATCGGTGCAGCCTATGCCGAGTCTGCGCGCTGGGACTATTGGGGCGAATCAGCCGTCAAATCCAAATTCTACGGCAGGTCGTTTGATATAAACCCTCTGGGTACTTGGTTCTTACGATTACGCCCATCTAATGGCGGTCCTCCGGAACTGTATACCTGGAAGAAAGTCACGAGTTCTGTGGTCGGCATTATCACTGGCAACCCTACCGTCGACAACTATGGCACGATGGAGATCAAGAATTGGACTAGCGGCGAAGTCTGCGTGCTCGAGTTCAAACAGCGAGGTTGGAAGGCTAGTTCGGCCTACCAAGTGTTTGGAAAAGTGATGGGCGTAGATGGGGTCACGAAATGGAGCATTGGCGGCCGGTGGAACGACAAGATTTACGCCCGTGTTACAGAGGGATTCGAGGATGAAGCCGTTGGGGAAGGCAGAGTGCATAGCTCTGGAAAGGGAAGCCAGGATAAACAACAGGCCTTCTTGGTTTGGGAGGCACATCAACGTCCGCAGGGCATCCCATTCAACTTGACCCCCTTCGTTGTGACATTGAATGACGTCAACGACACACTGCGCCCTCACCTTCCCCCAACCGACACCCGTCTTCGGCCCGACCAGCGCGCGATGGAGGATGGTGCGTATGATTTTGCCGCGACAGAGAAGAATCGCGTGGAAGAGAAGCAGCGGGCTGCGCGTAGGAAACGAGAAGCAGCTGGCGAAGAGTGGAAGCCCAAGTGGTTCGAGAAGAAAGTCGAGCCCATCACGGGAGAAAGTTATTGGGAAACCAACGGACTGTATTGGAAGAAGAGGGCTGAGAAAGATTGGAATGTCTGCGATGATATCTTCTAGGTGGAGAGCCACGAGGATGCTTCTTCTCGAGAAGAAGGTCCGCGTTCGAGGACAATTGACAGAGACAAGGAATCCTAAAGCCATGGGGTCACGATTGCAATTTGTGATTGGCGGACGCTGAGCGTGAGACAACCAAGAGAAAAGTGATAGTAACGATCATCGACTGAGATGAAGTCGACGACTACAGTATACATTACGGAGCTAGATGACTCGATACCTTCCCGCCCAGTAGCTCGTCAAGTGGGTACGTTTTCTGCTCTTTTGAAATGCGAACGGAGCATCCTGCCATAGGCCATGGGTGTACGAAGCCGAAGGAACCTCCAATGAGTCTCTCTGGTCGGCTCTGCGTTAGTCATTCCCTATGCAGCAGTTATTCCTCTGTTAGGGATCCCAGTCTGCCTGGCTGGATGTCGAACTGGGACAACGGTCTGTCTCATCTATTGGGCAGCCATGGCTACGGCCCCCAGCGCGTATGATCATTTCTGCAGCTGCTTTGGGCAGGTATTCCCCCTCCAAACCCCTTAGTAACCACCGACCGACTCGACCACTTCCGTGAGTATATAGGCAGTATCGTGCCGGGCCGTCCACCGACGGTCGAAACCCTCTCCAGCTCTAGCTTCCCGCTCGTCATCATGGTCGCTGAGAAGGACGTGCAGACGATCAAGAAGGAGCTGGCAAACGACAGCAGAGATGTCGCCGATTTGTGGAACGACGCTCTCCGGAAGTACAAGGGCATTGTTGGCGAGGGTCTGCAGCCCAAGTTCACCAGCGTCGACGCCATGGTGGAATTCGGCACCCACGAGATGGAAAACTTCCACCAGTTCCGCCACAACCAGAAGAAGGTCGACAAGCTCCGCAGTCTGTTCATGGCAAATCTGGGTTACATCCAGCAAGGGGCTCAACAGTTGATTGCCGCTGCCACTCCTGCCTTCCCGCCGGCAGCGGCCATAGGAACAGCTCTTACATACATGCTCAGTGTTTGTGCTTGACACGTTCCATCTCAGCGACCGAGATTTCTTTCTAACCTTGGCGATAGGCGTGCAAGCAAGTCTCTGCAGATTACGATGTGGTCACGGCATTCTTCGAAGACATGAATGCATTTCTCCAACGGATCACGATCCTGGAATCACGGTTACCAAGGTATCCCGCCTACCGTAACTGCCTGATGGATGTGTTCACTTCGGTGCTGGAGATGTGCGGCTTCGCCACCAAGTACATTGAGCTGGGTCGATTCAGTCAGCCGTCCTGATGTCCCAGAGAACAAATTTGTGGTTAGTGTCTGACTTGTCGACTCCACGCAGAGAAATGGATCTTGAACATGGTTCGCGGCGAGGATGGTGATTTGGGAGGTGCCCGAAAGAAGATGGACACATCTCTGTCTCGCCTCCAGTCTGCGACCGAGTACGCCATCCTCGGCAACACCGAAGAGTTGCAGCGCATGAACTCAGACCTCCAGCAAAACCAGGACATGCAGACCAGGATGATGGAAGACCAGATGCGCATGCTTGAGGACGTGATGCGGAGTCAGGACTCTGTCCGCTCTGACCTGCAAAACATCCAGAAGCTTCTGGTCATGTTCGAAGAGCGACGACGAGAGGACACACCCAAACAGCGGGTCGCCACCAAGGCATCTGGTCAAAACAAGCAGCCACCCACGTCGAATCAGGTCCGCAGCTTCTTCGAGGAGACGCTCAACCCGGCTCACGAATACCACAACATCAATGAATCCTTCATTGCTGATACGTGCACCTGGATCTTCGAAGAGCCGCTGTGGCAGAGCTGGCTCGCCCAGGAGCAAGGCAAAGAAAGTCCGCGGACAATCGCATTGCTAGGGCCGGCCGGCTCGGGCAAGAGTCATCTTGCGGTGAACATCTACGATCAGCTTGCCAGCGTCGCTGAGAAGGACACCACGACGAATACCTGCGTCGCCCACTTCTACTTCCGGGAGACAACCAAAGACCTCAACGAATTGTACAAAGCAGTCAATTGGACCGTCATCCAAATTGCCGAACAGAACGCCGTCCTTTGCGAGAAGATCTGCGCCGAGCTACAGCGAGATGACCTTGAAATAGATAGCTGGGATTGGGAAGATGTCTGGAGCAAACTGGTGCAGCCCTGCTTCACCCCACCCATGAAAGCGCGTCTCTGTGTTGTATGGGACGGTTTGGACGAGCTTCCGCAGATGGAGCAGCAGAACTTGACCGATCTCCTGACTTTGATAAAGGACACGGCTGACTTGAACGTCATGTTCGTTTGCACAAGCAGGGAAATGCTAAAAGACCTCCTGAGCAAGGCTGGTGCCCGATTCCTCGAGGTGACCAAGGAGAAGCAGCTGCCTGATCTCAAGGCCCTCATTTGGCAGCATCTGAACAACGACAGCGGGCTTCGCAAGTTCAGCAAGTACGTGAAGCAGAGGATCTCGAGCACGCTGGAGGACAAGGCTGACGGTAAGTGATTTCGGGTGTCACAAGGAGAACTTGCACTGACAGTCCCAGGGATGCTGTACGCGGAAAATTTGCTCCGCCAGTTCAACATCTTCGGCCGAGAACCTCTTGTTCTCAAAGCACTGGAAGAGCATATGCCCGAAGGCTTGGACGGGCTCTACCTCAACATGGTCGCCGACTTGCAACACCACACTCCAGAGGATGAACTGCACGCCATGAAGATTCTGTTGTGCTGGATGGCTTATTCGTACCGTCCATTGACCCTAGCCGAATGCCTGTCCATCCTGGAAATCACATCTGAGACCTCGTTCGACCTGGAGCGGGAACTCCAGGGCAGACAGCTGGCAAGATTCCTTCGACTGGGCGACCTCGAAGAACGAATGACCGGTGCGGCAGCCGAAGATGTCAAAATAAGCCTCCAAAACCAGAACAAGTCTGACGCCCCCTTCAACGACGGCAACTTGCCGTTGAAGTTTCAGGAACGTTCCATGGCCGGCTTCTTCCGTGGCGGTAACACGGGACTAAGGACCCTCGGCAAGGACGGCCATCGCGAGATATTCATCGTCTGCTCCGATATCGTCTGTGGGCGGAAGCCCAACGCCCATGCAGCCCTGCGTCAGTATGCGGCTAGATACGCGATGCTCCATCTCAGCTGGACGTCGATGAAAGACGACACGGAGCATGACAGGATCCGAGGCTTGGATGCAGTGGGAAACTTGATGAGCAATGAGACCCACGCTGCCATGGCCTTGGAGGCTCTCGGCGTGGACTACAAGGAGATCAACCAAGACTTTGCAAGTGGTCTGCTGATGAAGGACATGGCTTATGTGGCGAGGATGGCGGTCGCGCTCTCTGGCAAAGTGAGCCCAAGCACCTCGCAATGGGCAGCTAGTGTTTCCGCAGATGTTCACGTTGCGTTCGAACCTCTTGCGAGAGGACACGTTGCGAACTGGTTCCGGGCCGCGGATGCAAAGGCCGCCTTGCGCTCGTTCAGGTTCGCACGCAGCGCCATCGACATGGTACGTCCCAAAATTCTTCATGTTGCAGTGTGAGCGCGTGATTTCGTGAAAGTGAACTTACCTCGACGTGATCACCGATGATGGCCATCCCAACCCTTCACTATAATCAATACTGTCTTTGCCGAGGGCTACACGCTCTTCAATCGCTGCTGGGAAGTGTTCGCCACGGCTAGTTATGCTCTACAAGTCGTTCGGATTCCATGGGTCCGAGACTGAGTATCGCCACGAATCTGAAGCGATACCAGTGGATCGATCATCGCTCTGACCCTGGAGTGGCTTCTCCCTACCCGACTCTTACGTCTTCCCCATCACACTGCCCTGATCGATGGAGCTGCCGACCGCGTATTCTGGTTTGTTCGTTACTCGAATGACTAACTCGATTCTTATATCTTAAAGAAGGACAACGTTGATGCCAGCCACCCAGACAACTCCGAACCGGACAGTGACGACGACGAAGACGCTTACGATGAGCAAACGGACTATACCACCAAGCAGATCCTCGCCGTCTTCAACTGCTACGAGGACATCCCAAAGGACGCCAACGCCTACCTTGTCGTGGCCATGTCACTTGAGAACTCCGGCCACCATACCCCAGCATTGACCTATGGCATTCGGGCGTTGAAAATGTGCGTAGATCCTGTTCTGCGGTTCCGGATATTTGACCTGCTGGCCACAATCTACCTCCACAAGAAGGAAAAAGCAATCGCCTATGAAACGATACGCAAGGCTTTCTCCGACCATCCCTTGCTACCACCAAAGCTGCTCCGTGCTGGGCTCATCACTCGCGCGAAAGCCGAAGTGGCGGTCGGGAAGAAGGACGAGGCAATCGCATCATACGAAGAAGCTCGGCTGGCGGATCCCGAGGAGCCGTTGCAAGGGTTCAACCTCAAATACGCGTTCAGGGCGTGTCTGGCGAAGAAGGACGACGCCATGCTTGTGGAGCTGGTGAAGAGCTGGAAGCCCATGGAGCGTCTTGCCTGGATGACTTGGGATCTCGACCAGTCTGGAAACGACGACCACGAGGAGCTCCGAAGAGCCGCCGCCCGAGCCGGGCAACAAGAGTACGTGTACCAGGCGTACGACGAGGTCCTCAAGCTGCTCGACAATGTAGATGCGGCTGCTCCCATCCGCTACCACCTCGCGGTCACACACTGTGCAGTAGGACTAAACGTCGAGGCAGCCAAAGCCTTGATCCACGAAACCCTGGACACGAGTTCGAGCGGGAGTCCGTTCGCGCTGACCAACGAGGATCCAGCGTATACATTGGTCTGCGCCGTCCTCCTCCTGAGCGAGCTCATTTACGAGCAGTATCGCACAACTTCCGACCCGTCGGTCAAAGCCCAGCTGTACACCGAGATCAAAGGCCTCACCCAAAAACCGCTCGCCCGGTCAATCGCATCCCTCAAATCCGAGCTGACGCACCATTCCCTCACAATCGCGCGCATGTCGCGGAAGATGGCCACAGCTGCAGAGTTTCAACATCTCATGCAGAACGCTTTCGACGTCTGCTATGACGCTTTGACCGACAATGTGGGATGGAATGACTTCCACAACCTGAACGAGCTTGCAGCCGTCATTTCCAGCCTAGAGGGACTCGAGAAGGAGGCACAGATTCTCCTGTCAGCTCAGTTCTCCAAGCTGGATCCATCCGTCAAGGACGACCCGAGTTCTGATCCGGATGATCAGACCGACAAGGCGAACGGCGTCGAGTCGGAAGGAGAAGACGAGCACGAAGAGGACCAGGACGAAAGTGAGAGCGAAGATGATGATGATGATGATGACGACGACGACAACGACGACAACGACGACTACCCGCTCCCAACGGATGAAGGCGACCTCGCCGACGCTTGGGTCGAGTGCAGTGGAGAATGCGTGCCGGCCAAAAAGTGGCGTGCGTGGAAAGGGCGGCCCATGTACTTTTGCACGACATGCTGGAACGTCTTTCTGTGCGAGGACTGTCACCGCAAACGCCAAGGATACAATCGCCAAGGGGGCGACACGGCGTGTAGGGCCAATGTCGGCAGCGTATATTGCGGGACGAACCACAGATATATCACACCGATCCAGGGGTGGAAAGGCATCAAGGATGGCGTGATGATTATCCAGGGTCAGGCCGGTGAGAAGCCAACAAGTATAAAGTTCAGGGACTGGTTGGAGGAGTTGAAAACCGTCAAGTGGAAACAGGCGTGGGAGCGGTTCTGGTTAAAGGAGGATTGATACAGATGAGCTCGAGATGTCGGACGAAGAGATCCTGGGAATAGTGAATGTTGAACAAGGGCTTAGGGCGGGAAAAATTGCACACGGCATTCCCTTGCGCTGAGCGAGCCTCCCAGTATCACAAGGCGGGAAAGCAACCAAAGAACAAAAACGTAGAACAGAGTGGATTCCTTACTATGTAGATGAGATTTCATCTGCTCGACCTTCGGCTCGACCTTCACCGGAAGACTTGTCTTTTATCTTTTCCACAGCAAGGGATCTTCTGCCGGTCTTTGCCCCTTTCCCTAACCTACAAAATCGCTGACACGGCGAGAGACGATGGTGTCGGTAGAAATGTTGCCTTGTCCATTTGTCGACTTGGAGAGTCGGGCCCGAAAACGGCTCAATGCGCAGCCTATTCTTCTCAAATAACCGTGTATGTATGTGTGCATTGTCTGGCGAAAAGCCTGCATTGTCGGACTGACTGTTTCCAAGTCTTTGTTCAACATCTAAATGACACTTGCAGGAATAGATTGCGTTGGCGCATATGAGCAATATATCCGAGGTTTACGAGACAATGCAGAGAGTTACGGCTCAGTTCGCGGGTGGACATGGGAAGAAGCGGATGCAAATGGGACTCAAAGTTCAGTCATACGTGAGAAAGACAGGATGAAGAGCCCAGATGGAGGTGATCAACTTTTCATTTGCTTGCTACTTGACTTTTGATGGTCGTGGCTCGCACCAGCAAAGCACGCTTCCGCTCTTGTGAATGCATCTGTTCATGTCTGTGACTGTGTGCATGATTTGTACTCCCTGAAACATGTTGCCTCCCTCCGGCCAGCAGTCTAAATGGGTTGACTTTGCACTCTTGCATTGGATCGACCACTGGTGCGAAGTGCCATCGTCGCTCGCGTCTATTTGGAGGCTCCGCAGTCAACGATGGTTGGCTTGACCTTGTGCTTGACTTGGCCGGAGCCAGAGCCGGTTGCCTCGAGTTTCTTGACGATGTCCAGGCTCTGAGAATCGGCAACCTCGCCAAAGACGACGTGCTTGCCATCCAACCAAGAGGTGACGACGGTGGTGATGAAGAATTGGGAGCCATTGCTAAAGAATGTCAGTATCCATAACTCGCAGGTGGCAAACTGGCATGTTTCAACACTCACGTATTGGGGCCGGCGTTGGCCATGGACAGGATACCAGGTTTGGTGTGAGCTCTCTTGAAGTTCTCGTCTGCGAACTTTTCGCCATAGATTGACTTGCCACCAGTGCCCTAGTGGATCTGTCAGCGTGTGCTCAGGGATCCAACTCTTTTTCGTTCAGTGTTGACTGACATTACCACGAGTGAAGTCACCACCTTGCAACATGAATTGAGGGATGATGCGGTGGAAAGACGAGCCCTTGTAGCCGAAGCCCTTCTCGCCGGTGCAAAGAGCACGGAAGTTTTCGGCAGTCTTGGGGACTACATCATCGTAGAGGTTGAAGTTGATGCGGCCTCGGTGAGCTGTAGATGAGAGCAAGCTTTAGCCACGGAGCCAGAAGCTGGGAGATGACAGGCACGCCGAAGACGAGGAAAAGATGGATCGAAAGGGCTACTTGGGAAGACCACGGTGTTGGGAGAGGTCACATACGAGGTGGTGGAGCTTGTCCAGCGCGTTCGGCATCAGCTCGTTGCTTGTCAAGGGCCGCGTCGGACCACTCGACCTCAAACCAAGCAGTCATACCCATGGCTGCGGACGATGAAGAGAATTGTCTGGTTGGAAATGAGAGACGGTGGGTGAGTTTTTGATGAGAACGACTTGAGAGAAAGATCGAGGGCGGGGTGGATTGAAATCTGAGAAAAGACCTCAGTGCACAGGCAGGAGGGGCAGACATTTCACGGAGTAATGAGGGGTGGACGATCTGCAAGTGAATTGGTACCGGCTGCAAGGTGGGATGCAGTGAAGGAGCAGGCAAGGGTCTTGGGTGGTGCAGTGGCGGGCCGTTGGTGTGAGCTGCACGTGATGTGTCCGTGAAGGGAGCTGAAAAGATTTCATCAGCGTGATTTCACCCAGCAGGCCATCAACGTTGGAGATATCTCCTGTCTGACGATGCCCAGAGCTGTGAAGATGATAAGACTTACCAACTGTCCCTAACCAAGATATAATGCCAATGTAGTCGCTGGATTGACACCTCGAATCTGATTTCGGAGCTGTCTAAAGATGCTAGACACAAGCTGCAATGATGGCCAGATCACTTTCCAATCCGCACACCCGGAAAACCCAATGTCCGCCAAAGGAATGCCGGAGTACTAATACACACAGGTAATGTACAATGGGGAAACTCGGAAATACAAGTCCAGTTAGAGATCAGACTGGGAGAAGCTGATGAGAAAGGGACAGTTTGCCAGGAAACTTGAAGTATGGCACGTCGCCGGCCAATCAAATGTCGTGCTAAGGCTGGAAAGGGGTTGACCGGCCAAACGCTGAAGCAATACGTGGCCGCCTTCAAGATCCATGAGGACGGGATCTTCAGGATCAGTCATATCGATACATTGACACAGTATATGCCGCACAAATGGGGCCTTACAGCTACCAGGTCGTAGAATTTCTATTGCATTAGTTCGGTATTGTGGCTCAACTGAAATCATCGTCGGCGCCTCTACCCGGGCCAGCTTCAATGGCCATCACCCTCGATACCAACTCCTTCGTCTCTCGTGCAATTCGGAACGCAAGAGGAGGTAGCTGCTGCAAAACCTCCTTTTCAGCCGTGGATTCGTTGCTGACCTGCGACATCTGCTCCCGGCAGTTTTGCAGGATCGACACAATAGGCCCCGACTTCTCCCTCAGTGTCGTTTGGTATGAGGACGGCTCATTGCCCGTCCTGTCCACAGAATTGATAATGTCCTCGATCGTGCCGGAGATGGTTGTCATGTGAAGTTGAATGGTGGGCATGGCATCGTTGTTCCGAACAGAATCAACCAAGGAAGTGATAGACTGGACGAGCCCATCAGTTTGATCTTCGAGATACATCTGCGCATCATTAGCGTGGAAGTCCCCTGCACGCCCGCACTGGACTCACCTTGAGATCCTCGAGATCGGCCTCCTCCTGGCTGGTTGCATAGCCCACTTTGATTCCTAACCCGGCACCGCTGACGAGGTTGGAATCATGCCGCAGGTGTGAATTCGAACCGCTTCGATTCGGGGCATTCTTGCTTGCAGATGGCGTGCTCAGAGCACTGTAGATGCTCTCGATTTCGCTCCGCCTTCTCAGGGTCTCGGCAATGTTGAAATATCCATTGCCCTGCAGGGACTCCAGGTTGGGCTCATCGTCATGCCCTAGTTCCCCAGCAGGTGTAGGTCGTATCTTCACTGAATGAAGCAAATCAACTACAGCGGCCGTCAGATGCGAGGCCGCTGCGTCCAGAAGACTGACGGGTGACAGTCCACTGGCGGAGGCGAAATTCTTGGAAGCTGTGATGAGATTGTTTGCCGTTGCCGACACCTTACTCTTGAGCTTGCTCCTCCGTTTGCTTGTTTCATCGTCCTTTGCTGCCGATGAAGCGGACTCGATGTCAGATGTAATTCCGCGCACTGCCAATACCACTATTTTCATGTGATCAAGCACTGCGGCAGGGTTATCGGACCTCGCAATCTGCAGAAGCTCGTCAATGGCCATCTGGAACTGCGTGACGTTGACATCTTTGACCAGTCCGTCACGGTCTTGAAGAGCCACGGCGTGCTGACTGGCGTCGGTACGGGCAATGTTAAGGCCCAGAGAGCTTGCACGCACGCTCCTAACTTGCGCCTTAGCTCTAACATACCGACTTTTCCAGTTCTTGACTTCGTCTTCAAGCTTCTGCACTTCTGCTTGCAACTTTTCCTCCTTTTCGAAATTGCCCCCACCTGATTCCGTCAAGGCTCTCATTTCCTCAAGGTATGCCTGGCCTTGCCGGCTCACTTCGTCGGTTAGCTGTTGCTGTTGTGCCAGCTGTTTCTGCAAAACCCCATGATCCTGTTCGAGTTTGAGGTATTTCGTCTTCCAGAGAACGTTCTCCCCGCTGTAGTGTGGCTGCTCAGCCCTCAACTTCTCAATCTCGTCCTTCAACGACTTGTTCAAGTTTTCTGCTTCCTCCAGCTTCTTCTCCAGATCCTGTTTCGTTATGACCCATTCTTCGCCCTGACTCTTCAGTTGATTGAGTTCCGCATCCTTCAGTTCCAGGTTGGACTCCAACCTGGAGACCTTGTCCTGGAGTTCGGCTAATGCTGGTAGGCTGGGTTTCGTGGAATTCGTGCTTACGCCACTCTGCGATGTGGCAGCGGTATCTCGATCGCTCCTGGGGCTGGCAAGAGAGCTTTCGAGGCCAAAAGCATCGCTCGACCTGTCGTACTTTGAATCTGCCTGCGAATCGTCTTCATCCTCGACCATGGTACTTTTATTAGGGGTGATCGTGTTGCTTTGAAACTGCTTGGGCATCGGTCTTCCAAGGTCCGCGAGCGAAGGAGGATTCTCGATGGGCGGAAGACTGGACACTGATTCTTGCCTCTGAGGGTACCCCTGTGCGCCTGAGCCGCCGAAAGTCTGGGATCGAGATGGGAGTCCGAAGCCGTTGGGTTGCGGAGGGCCTTCTCTTGACGGCGGAGCCGGACCCCTAGATTGAGACCGCGCACTATCCCTCCTACCCCCATCAGGCCGCTGAAATTGTGGGAATCTGCGCTCCAACTCGCAAAAGACATCCGTCGAGAGGTCGCGGAACCTGGGCGTCTGCAGAGAGGACAGCTTTTGTCGGGCCTGGTTTCGCTTCTCGTGGAAATCCGGTCGTGGCTGTAAGAAAGGAGGCACATTCTGTTGGCGGGGTGGGCGACCTGGGAGAGGCGCCAAAGCCTGCCTTCTTTGCAACTCGTCGAAAACGTCGGTGCTCAGTTCGTGGAATTGGACAGGCGACAATCGTAGGAGCTTGTCCCGAGCCTTGTTAGGGCGAGGAGGAGCCTGAGAGGCGCCCTTGAGAAAGCCTTTTAGGACGGTATAGTGTTGGAATAATTCCG